TTCTGGGAGTAGGCTTTACTCAACCAAGTAGGCACATAGACTTCAATAGGACTAGGAATTCAGGTTGTTGGGGAGTTATAAATATTTATCCCAGGACTGAATTTGGTTCAGAGAGAGGTTAAGAGATTTGTTCAAAACCATACAGCAAGCCAATGATAAAGGGGCCAAATTTGGATCTCATTGAAAATCTGGAGTAAAGACATTGGAGCATGATAAGTCTAAATCCAGAAGGAATAGTTGTGAACGATATAAGCTTGCAGAACCAAGGGAATACTGCTAACATTGTTAATTCATTTCTAGCTGTGCCCTAAGTGTCCACTCTAGAGATACAGCAGAGGTCAGAAAACAGAGCTGTAGGGCAACAGAAGGAGATTCAACTGAACAGTAAAATGGTCAGATTGGAATTGGCAACATCCTCAATAAAGGTTTTAAGATCTTTGCATTATACAAAATACCAACCCCACAAGCTAGGCACAATCAGTTAGTTTGATTCTTGTAGGCATTAGGGTAGAGAATGTTGGTCCACAGGAGAGACTTGAATGGGAAGGAAGTGACAGTGTGGATAGGTCAGGAAGGACACGCCTTGCTTAGAGGACTGTGGAAGAAAGTAGAGATGCTGGAGGAAGGCACAGACAAACAGGATGTCCTGGTAGTTGTCAGAAGTAGAATACTAGGATGTGGATAGGTGTATAATGGAAACCAGATACCTTAAGTGCCTTAATTCACAGGTGGAACTAAAGAATAATGCATTGCCATGGATCCATGGCAGAACTCCACAGATTGGGCGTATATGTCTCAGAGTAGTCTGTGACAGTCCAGATCGTTCAACAGTGATATGCTTGTCATTTCCAACTGAGAGTAAACAAGAACTAATGCAGTCATCTGAAAATAATAATGTTTTATTTAATTGGTTACATCATCAGAAGTGTTCTCTATTTTCAGAAAACAAAGCCCTAATTTGGAAAATAATGCACATACAAAACTCTTACAAGTATTTAGTATACAGAAATGTACAAAGCATAGTTTATTGTTAGAATGCCCCACATCCTAAAGTTGGTATTCAGGTCTATTGTGCCAACGAGTATGAGCTACAAAGATGATAAGCAACCTGAAAAAAGACAAGGTTTATATACCTCTACAACAGTGCAAATATATCACAGCACGCAGGCAACAATAGTCTCTAAAGAAGCATAATAAAGTTGATTCCTAGTAATGCATTTTGCATCACAGAAACAAGAGAACAATTATATATCAAGATATACAGTGTATGCACAATTTTGCACACTGATTTAAAATGTTGCTTGCATTGAATCTTGCTTTTTTAAAAAAAGTTAAACAACTCAATAACAAATTCAAGGGCAATATCTCACTGTAAGTTCAACTGACTGAGATCAGGTATTGCACAAACAGTCTAAAACAAGTTAGCTAGAGTCCCAGCTACACTGTAGGACTGATTTTTAAAACATACTACAATAAAAATGATCATTTTCCTTCCATATCAGAAGGCAACACTAGAAATGCAATATATTAACTTTTGTGGCATGCTTTATGTGCACTTTTCTGTCAGAGCACATTTGTTATTAAAATTGCATTCTTTTTCAAAATATTCCCATTAGTAAAGGTTGACATAATTAGAATAAACACAAGTAGAGGGATTTTCTTAAGGAATAGAAAGAAGTCATTATAGCATTTACATATACTGTGTTCCCAAAAATAAAAGTAATGGTGCAAAAATCATGATTGTGAAGACAGCACAAAGACCTTTCAGAAACAAGCCTTTTATCTTGTCTCTACAATACACTTAAAATACATTTTAGATATTGGAGGAAAGGCAGAGCAGGGATAACACCATTAAACCCAGAACTTCTGTTTTGCAATAAATCAATGAATTTTGCAGACAGAGTATTGGAATACCTCGCATTGACGCCAAAGGCTCATGTATGCCATTCTTTTTCCTACACTGTACAGTGTGACATCCAGTGAATAAGGACACGATAGTTTGGAGTCAAAGGGTAATATTCACCCTGTGCAGAGGCCTAGCAGAAAGACTATGGTTAAGAGCCTCAAAGGTAGGTGTCTAATTCCCAAGGTCTTAGTTTAAGACCCAATTAAAGCTGTGGATAGACCTTGGTGCTGGCCCCAGGCACAGGGTAGATTTCAGTTCAGAAGCATATTGAATTTGATAATTTACATGAAAAAAAAGAGACTTGGAAAAAAGCAAGGACCCACTGAAGGAAGATCCTTTATATGAAAATAAAATTAAGTATTGTACACAACACAGGTGCTGACATTAGAAATCAAAATTAGGGCTCATGCTCTTCAGCACTTTTGCTCTTAATCTAGGTAACTGTTGCATGGAATATGTACAAATAAGTAGAAATGGATCAGTGACTGCACAGAGTTAAAGTTGTGGCTAAAAGTAACTGCATACTCATTGTATGAAACATAGTAGTCCAAAATCTCCCTGAACGTAACACGTGAAAATTATCCCTACTACATAAAAATGTGTTTTAAAACAAGCACAGTCTGGATTCAATCCTCAAAATTTGGCAAAGTCCTTGAGCACATGCTTAACTTTAAGAAACCAATATTAACCTCAATGGGACTTAACTACTTGTTCTATGTCTGCACTGTAGGCAGATCTAAGAGGGTCTCTCTCAGGCCTGGGCAATAATTTTTGTACAGGGGCTGCTTCACAAATTTTGGAAGTGGTTGCAGGCTGCCCCGAAGCGACGGGACCTCTGGCGGAAAGGTCGGGGCCTCGGGCAGAAGAGGGCACTTCTCTCTAGATGCGGCCTGCCTCTGGCGGCGGTGAGGAAACTTTGCATGCTTCTCCACCCCCTGGCTCTGATTGGCCTGGGAGTGGGGGAGTGCATGAAGTCTTTCCCCCTGCCTCCACCCTGCCAGCGGTGCGTAGTGCCTAGAAGGAACCACTAGCCATTTTCAACAGCTGGAGGTTCCTTCCAGGCACCACACACTCCTGGCGCTGGGAGAAGACTTCATGCGCTCCACCTACCCCCAGGCTAATCAGGGCCTGGAGATGAGGGAGTACGCAAAGGCTCCTGCCCCCCTACCCCACCCTACCTGCAGCCTATAGTGCCTAGAAGGAACTGCTAGCCATTTTGAACAGCTGGCAGTTCCCTCTGGTGCTGCTTGTCCTTGGCAGGAAGAGAGACTTTGTGCACTCCCCCATCCCCAGCTCTCAATTGGCATGGGGACGGGGGAGTGGCAGGGTAGCCACAGGTCGGATCAAATTGCTTGGAGGGCCAGATCCAGCCCACAGAGCTGATCTTGCCTACCCCTGGCCTATCTGGTGACATGACAGTGTCAGGGGTTATACAACATATGGATGAGCATGTCAGAATATCAGCCCCGCTTACTACTTAGTTCCAGCGCAGCTTTTAAAAATGTCTTCAGTATTATCATACATTCTGAACAGCACTTTAAAATGTGTAAACCAGGGGCACGTCTATACTTAGAAGATCAATGCTCTGGAGGTCAATCTTCTAGCGTTCGATTTAGCTGGTCATAAACTTGCTACATTTAACGCTGAGGACTGCTCACATCCATGTCTGGTACTCCTCTTTCTACAAGGAGTAAGGGAAGTGGATGGGAGCATTTGCCCTTCACTGTGTGGATACTGCCACGGCTCAGCTTAAGGTAAGCCAACTCCATTTTGCGTAGCTGGAGTTGCATGCCTCTTCAGCCAACCTTCCTGTTCTAGTGTAGACCAGGCCTGTGGGAGCACCGCTGAAGTACATATAGATAGGTCAAGGCTCCATAGCGCACATACAATCTTGTTTTCTGGCTGCCAGTGGGTGTAGGGAGCACTGGGTCAAAATTTGTCAATGTAAACTGCATAGGGCTTACTGTCCTCACCACAGACACCATAAAACAGCAGACCAGTGTTAAACAAAACAAGATGAAATGCTTCCTAGAGACTCTTGGGGCAGCTCCCAGCATGAGCAATGGAAATGCTGGGTGTGCAGGGAAGGCAAAATCAACCCTGATGTTTGCTACATTAAAATAAAAGATGTACTACCTCATGCAAGAGGCCAGTGCAGCACTAGAGTAAGGGCAGTGTCACTTTTAGCCCATACATAAGCAGAGTCCAAGACAAACAATGGGATGTAAATTTTCTAATAGGATTTTATGTAAAGAGCTGCAAAAGGAACACAGCTAAACAGCTGCAATTAAGAAGAGACTAGCCTGATGTTAAAATTTAAAATAATGAAAAGATATTCACTCTGAGTTGGCAAAATCAGTGTAAACAGTGGCTAGAAGCAGCACAGAAACCATTTTCCTCATGGTTCCTAAGTTTTGGTGGTTGGTGCTGGTTTTTTGAAACAGGAACTTGAGGCCCTTGCTATATGCGTAAGCAGGGGCTTCTGCTCTAGCTTCCATGCATTGCCAACTCCATTGGATACAACCCACATCTTCACGTACACGCGTTTAACTCCCAAAGCATGGGCTGAGCCAAAGGAAGGACTTGGCTCAGGAAAGCATCCCTACTTAGGAAAGCGTCAACGCATATGTTTAAAGCCCAGTGAACTCAACAGGACTGAAGCACGTGTTTAACAGCCTCCCTGAATAGGGATGGATTTAAGAACATGCCGAGTCAGGGCCCCAGTTGCCAGATTGGGTACCAAATGGGAGGTGGCAAGTACTGACTAACTCATCTTAATCCTTTGTGAACAAATCCAATTATCTCAAAAGACTGAGAATCGCTGAACACTTACTGCAGAAGGGCCTCATAGAACTTAACTTCAGCCCACTGAATTAGCTACTTTCATAGATCCCAGGGATGGAGATGTCCTCTTGATTTGTCCACTACACGTCTATTGTATTTATCTGGAATTTCAGGGGGGTGAACAAATGGAAATGCTAAGGTGAAGAGAGCTAGGAAGTTGAAAAAAGGAGGCACATGTTTGTCAGGCCACTTGGAGGGTTGCATCCCCTTCAAAAGGATTTTCAGTGGGACTGTGTTCATAAACACAAGTTCCTGAACTCTCCTCTTAAGCCCTTTACGGTTCCTGAACATCAGGTCATAGAATGAAATGAAAAACTTAATTTGTTATTTTTAGATTGAGGAAAATATGAGTGCCTTATTTATGTAGAACAATAAGCTTCAGTAGAATTCATTTATTCAATGGGATTCTACAATATGAAAAATATACTTTAGACAATTTTTTTTTTTTGCAAAACTTTCTACAGCAGATGCTTGGATAAACATGTCTAACAAAAAAATGACAAAGCAGGCATCTTTTGGAAACACTAATGGAGGACAACACTTGTTGGACATAAAGTAACAGTACATGAGAACATGATACTGACACTAAGACAAGAAGGTCTGCAAACAATGTACAGGCATGGGTGACCAGATGGTAATCCAGAGCTCTCACATTCTTAAACTGGACTGAATGGTTTGATAGGTTAGTACTATTGTGCGTCAATGGAGTATCATCCAGAAAGTCACCTGTTTAGTTCTCTATAATTTGGTAAATGGTAGGTTGTTTTCACTTTGGTATTTTGTAAATGAAGGGTTAGTAAATGCACAGTGTGTGCTGTGAATACAAACCTATTTAATGTCATATATTCACACTCAAGGTTGAGAGAGAAAGTTTGCAAAAAATGGGTAATATGGCAAATGTTTGCCTGTTCACGCCTAGTCTGAACAGCCCACAATATTTACAAGTTTGCTCACAATCCTGAATTATGCGAACAGTGTTTTGTGAGTGAATTTCAACCAGTGAATTGTGTGTAAACAGTTCACTCATGAGGATCGCTCTGAGTATCCCCCAGTTGGCTGCATGAGGGTGATCTATGCAGGATTCTGTATCTCTTATTGTATTTCTATGGTAAAAATTTTCACAGAAAAATCTGGCTCATAGTGAAGCATACGGCTTGCTTCCCTGGGAAATGCTGATGTCACTTCACTCATCGAAAAATAATTCCAGACAAATTGGGTTTAATACAGAGAAGTGCCTGGATTTCCTAAAAACAGTCTATGAACAGTGGCTTGCAGTGATTCACAGACACAAAAAAATCTCTCAATCACTACTACAGGGAATGGCCTTCCAAGACTGAGCTTCAAAAAGGAGTTTTACTGAAAGATATAAGCATGTCAACAGCAATGATGTTTCTCCAGATTTAGTAGCACTGACTGAGACCTCAGTTACATGGAGGTAAATGCACAGGAACTCTGTTGGGGTAGATCTAAGATAGATGAATACCAACGTGACGGATCAGAGCATGGGTCACTTTATTGTGAGTGAAATCCTGGCCCCATTGAAACTACCATTTCCTCCAGCAGGGGTCAGGATTTCACCCTGAAATTTGAGAAGAAGAGTAATTATAAGAAGAAGATAAAATGATTTAATCAGTTTTGACCAATTCCCATGTGGCTAGGACAGGTTAGATTTGGAGAAAACCAAAACCGATTGACTGCCATTATTTATGTCATATCACTTTGCCCCTGCATGCTAGGGCGAATCATCTATATAGTTCATTGCGGAAATCTTAAACAATTCCATGTAAATAACCACAAATATTCTAGTACAAACGTGCTATGCTATCAGACTTTGATCTATGGGCTAGCTTTATACTCTGCTTTCACAATTTGAGAGAGAAAACAGCCCTGGAGCTCATTCCATTTGCATTCACAAGAGGTAGTTCACGTGGCTTGAGCACAATTAACATATTAACGGTCACAAAAAAGGTGGGTTTAAAAGACATTTCAAAAACAGATTTTTTTAAAAAAATAAGAAATTATCTGTGGAAAGCTTAAATATTCCTGACCATCTGTGCTCTATTTTTTTTTTTTTTTTTTAACAGGTATACACTTCTGCCTTTTTTCTTGAATATTACAAGGTCTGAGTCTGAGACCATCTCCTTAAGTAAAGCACCAGATACACACACAAAAGTAACATGTAACCCCTATGATTTTTCTTTACGTATTATTCATCCCAATTTAAAAAGACATCTTTTCTTGAGCATCATCACGTTTACAGACTTTGGGTTTGGATGGGTAATTCCTGTGGAAAAGAGAGGCAAAGCGATGCATAAAAAACTTCAAAGATGACACTCTGAATGAAGCCATAATGCTACTTTCTTTGCATTCTCTCCAGTACGTACTTGACTGAATGTTGATCACTAATCACCAGCCATTTAAAGCTCTGTCTCTCAGAACAAAGATTGTCTTATCACAGATAGTTTTCATAAAGGAAAATGGAACCATTTTTGTTGCAGTTACTCTGTTTCAGAGTTGAAACTCTACATTGCAAAATTCCCTTCTACTTCTTCTTCCTAGTTAAAGCTAGGAAGTGTAATGGAAATGTGACCCAATCCAACTGGACTGATTTAACACTATATATCCACTAACCCAATATGGTTCTCTGTGGGCTGGATCATAATAGCATCTGTAACTGGACACTGGCCACCAGCCTGCAACAACGAGACAATAACAAGTGCCCTCTACTGCATGACTAAAATTTTTCCTATTGAATAGTTTTGTTTGGTCTTCCTTTACCTCTCTGCTTGGATTTTGTATCTGAGAACAAAGTAGGCAATGAGACGCAGAGAGAAGAAGAAAATTCCAAGCACAATGAAGTCCAGGTAAAGTTTGGCATTTTCTACATCCAGTTCTCTCAGGATGGCCTCTGATTTTTGAAAGTGGCAGGTATCATCTTTGTCGCAATGAAGATCTTCTCGATCTAACCCATAGATAGAGAGAATAACTCCCTCAAACCCATACCTAGAAAGGAAAGGATAGATTACAAAGCCTCGAATAGAATATTCAAAAACATTACAGTCAAATTCCCTAAAAGGAGAACATTATTTAAAACAATCGGAATAATCTCTGTTTATATTAAAACAACATCTCAGTGACTTTATATATTAATCAAGTCAATTCTAATAAAGTGCATTTTAAAGAGAAAATATACTTAATGCCTGGATGTAGTTGTATTATGTGATGGGAAAGAAATTGAAATGTCTCATCCGTACAGTCCTCTGCACACTTCTTCTGCTGCATAATTGCCAGGAAACTTCCCCAAGCTCCCTCGTCTAATCTGGATCCGGTCTCACATAGGATCTGATCATGTAGCAGATGGCCTACTATCTATGGATCTCTGATGTCAGCAGGACTCCACATGGGTTAGTCTGGGGCCTTAGGGACAAAACCTTTTTCTTCCATCCTGACTCCAGCTACCATTCCTGTCTACACTGACTTCTGATGAGTCTCTGGATATGAGGAATGAACTTGATCTGGTGAGTTTGCAAACCAGAACAGAGTTTGACATGAGTTGTCTTTATAGTTCTACAACCTGGAAAGAAACTATGTTTCCCACATAAATCTGACGTTAGCATTATCTAGGACATATACAAATATTGTTCAAGTGGACCTTCCTAACCCTCTTCCTCTGGAGAAAACCCATTGGGCATCTACAGAAATATCAGTAATAAACTGGACAAACAGGTCTTTATCCAAGATGTCTGTCTGAAGTAACTGTCACTGAGGTGTGCCATGACATACACAGTAAAATGCTAAATAGTCTCCAAAGTGCAAAGCTGGCAGCTCCATTAAAGTCTTGTTATAGACACTGTCCTCACTTTTACCTGTCAAAGCAACTTGTCCACCAAATGCTCTGCAGACTTGAATGTTGTGTGCAATCCCACTGAATTCAATGGGAACAGACATGACATAAACCAGCCCAGATATTGGCCCAATACACATAAAGCCATGCTCAGATTTTTCTTATTTATTTCATATTGTTGTACATACTTTGCACAGTGAAATAATTTGGCATTACTCTTTTATATGCATTTCCAGCAGGAAATATATCACATTAAATCCTAAAAGAATGTGCTACAACTATGGTAACCTTAACCTGGAATGTTTTGTCTTTTAGTGCCAAGAGATCACTGGCTTCCCACACAGTACCTGACATATGAGATATAGGACATCCATTGGAGGTATGCTGGAATGGTGTCAAAGCTGACAAAGAATCCTGAGAAAAGGAGGACTGGGATGGCTGTAACTGGACCCACAAATGTTGCCACCTAGAAAAAGGAGAGGGGGAAATTATGTCTCCTCAGACAGCCAAAGAAATGTTCAGGAGCATTGGGGGTACTCCCTGATTTTAATTTCTTTACTGGGGAAGGTGGTCTTTAATTCAGCAATCTCCCTCTAAGACACAAACCCTTTGTCTTGTGTCAAATTCAGACAAGCAGTTGAAGTTCCTTGTTAGTATAGCAGTATCTCCTGCCTGTCATGTGGGAGACTGGAGTTCAGTTCCCTGACAGAGGAGATGAAAATGATGGTCTAGATCAGGGGTCTCCAAACTACGGCCCGCGGGCCGGATGCGGCCCGCGAGGCCCTCTCATCCGGCCCGTGGAGACCGTCCCTGGGGCGCCGCCGAACGGGCCCTTCTTGCCGCGGGGGGGGAGGGGCCCTGTCAGGGGTGTGCGGCGTGTACTCACGCCGCGCCGGGGCAGGAGAAGCGGGCCGCTCTGCTGACAAGCGGCTGTGCGGCGGCGCAGGGGGCGGGGGTTAGCACGGCGGCGTTCCCCCGCCCAGACTGACAGGGCAGCCGGCCAATCAGGGGGCAGGATGGGCGGTGGTGGTAACGCCCGCCCGG